GTAAGTATATGCGCAATAAATCTACAAGACAGAAAGGTGATTAAAAACTTCAACTTCACAATGTCAAAGTTTCGAGCACAACGGTATGAAGATATATGACCAGCGAAGGTTGGAAAACCTTGAAGAGAGATAGGCGACGCACATGCAGACATGGTGTCAGAATGATTTGAAACTTGAAAGCGAAGGGAGACCGGCTAGCAAACTCACGTGATGTGAACCCTCTGGAGAACATCTGGATTATCGTTGACGACAAAACATACAAAGAACTAGCCCCCAAATAACTGGACGAGCTAAGGCAATGACTAAGCTTCACCTGAAAAAGTGTGTCTTAAGACACACACTTTGGGGGCTCGTACATTCTATACCTCACCACTTAGAAAATCCAACAAGAAAGACATTCTGATTAGCGATATTTCGGGTATTCAATGTTAAATGAATAATGAATAACATACTAAGTCAAGTTTTACAAAAGGTATTTTTAATAATCGGTGAAATTTGAGCGAAGGAAAAATCGGAACGAACTTTTGAAACACCCTGTATATATTAAAAACAATATATTATCTAAAAACAACAAGTAATGTTCTTTCCTAAATTAAGGGCAACGTTACCAGTCAAGCACATAGATTTCAACGAGCGAGGGTCATTAGGGTTGTAAGAAGCAACGTATAGTAGCCTGCGTATCAAGCGTTTCCTCGCGAGTTCGACGAGAAAGTTGGGACAAGAGTTTTTTTAAAAAAAACAAATTGGAATGACGGGGGAGGGGAGGGGAATCCACCTTTTTTTTTTTTTTTTTTTTTTTTTGGCTCCCGCTCTAACTTACGCGCAATAACTCCACTAGAAACGCTTGCTACACAGGCTAGAAGTAAAAAGAGCTTGTTTATAATAACGGTAAACAAGAACTTTAAATTAGCTGAAAGAACAAGAAACAGATGGTCCAAGGGTGCGGCAAGAGCATTCCATATACTAACAGTTCTGTTAAGAAAAATTGATCTTTAAAAATATGTCGTTTTACAGTTCCTGATTAAAAATAAAGTGATATGCGGATTACTACTGTATCTAGTAGCTCTTGCAAATTGTTAGAGCGCGTATGTGAAGAACAACAGATGGATTGATTACAGCCTTAAAAAAGACCATGTCAAGATATTCTTGTCAGTATATTAGGGATAGCAGATTTTAATTGAATAAGCCTATCCTTATATAACTGCTGACAATAAAATGGTAGATTAAGGATGTATTTTGAAGCCCGTCGCTAAATCTGCCCCATCTTACAAATCAGTTGGATAAATTAGGGAGCCCACACTTCCGTTGCGTACCCAAGGAAAGCCCGCACTGACGGCGTTAGATAAATAGATCGTCTCACAGACACGTTCTTAATAATCCTGGTGTTACGCCGAACAAATCCTAACATCTTGTTGGACTTTGAACAGACCGCACAAACCTGTCTGTCCCATGATCAGGCTGACAAAAATGACAACACCCACTCCTTTTCCGAGGTGTAGGATCCGAGAGCATGTTCATTCAATTGATAGCTGGCAGTTACAGGTTTGAGCTTTCTGATAGTTCGTTGCACTTCACCTTTAGAGTTATTAAAGGCTAGGCCAACAGGAGACGACCAGGAGGCGAGATTCCTTAGGTCAGCCCGCAGTACCAAGGACTCCTCTTGAATAACTATAGTTTTGAAGATCTTAATGTCATCGGCAAAGGCGGCGACCTGGCTTGATTTCACAACGCCAGGTAGCTAATTCGCGTATAAAAGAAACAGCATAAGGGCCTAGAATCTAGCCTTGGGGAACTCCTGATGTCACAGGGAGTGCCTTCCATGACAATCTCAGTGCGGCTACCCTCTGAAAACAGTTGTGAAGGTGGGAATCAAACCAAGCCAGTAAGTTCCCACCAAAACCGTGCTGATGCAGCGTCGTGTTTCCAATTACTGACTTCAGCAGAGAAAAACTTCAAGAATGCTAGAACTAACAGTTTAAATTTGTTGCTGGTTGGTACATTGTTTTTTTTTTTTTTCTCTCGAAACTTTCTAGACAAGAAATTCACACGGTTGTTTTCTTTGAAATTTCGCGTCGTCGCGAAATATGAATTAAACTGCTTTCCAGGTTTGTATTTGATATCACTTAATGACTATGGCAGTAGCGAAAAGTGGAACTCAGTAATACAACGTGAAAACTAACGCTTTTTCGGGGCTTAGTAAGTAAATTGTTCTGTTTTTGAGCTTTTCCAAATTGTTGTTTGCAGTTTGTATTGCTCGGGGTCTGGATGCCTTTTTTATGGGTTTACCGGTATTAATTATAATAAATCTAATAAACCATAGGTTTTTGACCAATCAGAACGTGCGTACTATCTCAGTATATTTACCTGGTAGTGGCTGAGTTGGTGCTGTTATTGGTTGAGACGTTTGTGTCGGAGACGAAGTTTCTGTAGGTGTTATGGCTGAAAAAAAAAAAAAACAAATGAGCGAATGGATTAATTAATCAATTACAATTAGGAGTGAAAACTGTTTCAAAAAAAGTTAGTGCGATTTACAGCTTTCTTATAGCTTATGTTAATACGATACAGTTAGTCAGTTTACTCAGTGACTAAATTCAACATCCTTTTTACGGTAAACATAACGTACTGCAATAGAACTTCTATGAGAAAATTAAAACGACGTTCTTAGACCCATACCCGTTGGTCTCGGGCTAAATTCTCGGGTTTTTGCGCTATATCTCATAATGAAATGCCCGATACTCAGGCCTATTTTGGCTTTCGTTTGGTCATAAAGAGCTCAGTATCATTTTTTTGGCAATATTAATCGTCAAACATGTGGCAGATTCCCTGAGAAACGTATCTTTTGGGGGTGGGAAGAGGTAAATTCAATATACCTTCATCGCAATACTTTCCTACATGTTTCCTGGCTTGATTTCACAACGCTAGGCAGCTAATTCGCGTATAAAAGAAACAGCACAAGGGCCTAAAATCGAGCCTTGGGGCACTCCTTATGTCACAGGGAGTGCCTTCCATGACAATCTCAGTGCGGCTACCCTCTGAAAACAGTTGTGAAGGTGGGAATCAAACCAAGCCAGTAAGTTCCCACCAAAACCGTGCTGATGCAGCGTCGTGTTTCCAATTACTGACTTCAGCAGAGAAAAACTTCAAGAATGCTTGAACTAACAGTTTAAATTTGTTGCTGGTTGGTACATTGTTTTTTTTTTTTCTTTTTTCTCGAAACTTTCTAGACAAGAAATTCACACAGTTGTTTTCTTTGCAACTTTGCCTCGTCGCGAAATAAGAATTAAACTACTTTCCAGCTTTGTATTTGATAACACTTAAGACTATGGCAGTAGCGAAAAATGGAACTCAGTAATTCAACGTGAAAACTAACGCTTTTTAGAGGCTGAGTAAGAAAATTATATTGTTTTTGAGCTTTTCCAAATTGTTGTTTGTAGTTTGTATTGCTCGGGGTCAGATGGATGCCTTTTTCTATGGGTTTACCTGTATTAATTGTGGTTTTTGACCAATCAGAACGTGCGTACTATCTCAGTATATTTACCTGTTAGTGGCTGAGTTGGTGCTGTTATTGGTTGAGACGTTTGTGCGGGAGACGAAGTTTCTGTAGGTGTTATGGCTGAAAAAAAAAAATGAAAAAAATGAACGAATGGATTAATTAATTAATTAATTACAATTAGGAGCGAAAACTGTTTCAAAAAAAGTTAGTGCGATTTACAGCTTTCTTATAGCTTAGCATGCCATACAGTTTGTCAGTTTACTCAGTGACTAAATTCAACACCCTTTTTACGGTAAACATACCGTACTGTAATAAAACTTCTATGGGAAAGTTAAAACAACGTTCTTGGACCCATACCTTTCCTTAGTCTCTTGCTAAATTCGCGGGGTTTTGCGCTATATCTCATAGTGAAATGCACCGATAATCAGGCCTGTTTTGGCTTTCGTTACAATCCCAGTGCGGTTACCCTCTGAAAACAGTTGTGAAGGTGGGAATCAAACCAAGAAGGTAAGTTCCCACCAAAACCGTACTGATGCAGTGTCATGTGAAGTTTCCAATTACTGACTTCAGCAGAGAAAAACTTCAAGAATGCTAGAACTAACAGTTTAAATTTGTTTCTGGTTGGTACATTGTTTTTTTTTTCTCCCGAAACTTTCTAGACAAGAAATTCACACGGTTGTTTTCTTTGCAATTTCGCATCGTCGCGAAATATGAATTAAACTGCTTTCCAGCTTTGTATTTGATAACACTTAATGACTATGGTAGTACCGAAAAGTGGAACTCAGTAATACAACGTGAAAACTAACGCTTTTTCGGGCCTGAGTAAGTAAATTGTTCTGTTTTTGAGCTTTTCCAAATTGTTGTTTGCAGTTTGTATTGCTCGGGGTCTGCATACCTTTTTCTATGGGTTTACCGGTATTAATTATATATAATAAATCTAATAAACCATAGGTTTTTGACCAATCAGAGCGTGCGTACTATCTCAGTATATTTACCTGTTAGTGGCTGAGTTGGTGCTGTTATTGGTTGAGACGTTTGTGCCGGAGACGAAGTTTCTGTAGGTGTTATGGCTGAAGAAAAAAAAATGAAGTAAATGAACGAATGGATTAATTAATTAATTAATTATAATTAGGAGCGAAAACTGTTTCAAAAAAAGTTAGTGCGATTTACAGCTTTCTTATAGCTTAGAATGCCATACAGTCTGTCAGTTTACTCAGTGACTAAATTCAACACCCTTTTTACGGTAAACATACCGTACTGTAATAGAACTTCTATGGGAAAGTTAAAACAACGTTCTTGGACCCATACCTTTCCTTAGTCTCTTGCTAAATTCTCGGGTTTTTGCGCTATATCACAGTGAAATGCCCAATAATCAGGCCTGTTTTGGCTTTCGTTTGGTCATAAAGAGCTCAGTATCATTTTTTTGGCAATATTAATCGTCAAACATGTGGCAGATTCCCTGAGAAACGTATCTTTTGGGGGTGGGAAGAGGTAAATTCAATATACCTTCATCGCAATACTTTCCTACAAAGCCGTGGTCACATTTGCAGTAGTAGGTGTTATCTTTGGGTTCAATCTTGCACTTGCCATGTTGGGAGCAATGATTCTTAGCGCAGGCATTCTGCAGAAATATAATATTAGTGGTAGAAAGTCATGTCAGTAATTTAAGTTTATTAGAAGACGCCCAAATCCAAAACAGGACGAGTAATTTAAATGATGGAAAAACACCTAGAGAATTGTGTTATCAGAGAACCTATTTTCTTTAGAAGCTAGACAAATTTTGTTGAAACCTGTAATATAAAACGGTCGATACCGTTACAAGATGATGGTTTCATAAAGGGTAATTCAGTTAACATGTCAGGGTCGGCCAGGGCGGGTAGTGGTATACCAGTATACCCGAAAAAAATTCGCCAAATGCCCAAATATACCCAAAATTATACCCAGGTATACTTTATACCTGAAAGTGATATACCGAATACCCGTATTTAAGCTGCAATATACCGTATACCCGATTTAAAAAGCCCCTGTATACCGTATACCCAAAACCCCTGGCCGACCCTGACATGTAATTCTTTCCATATTGACCAATACGTTTTGCTATTTTGTTCTTGTAGAGTACATAAAGGTATAGAGACTCAGCCTCAATGACTCAATCAATTTAATTATTTTCTTCGAGAATTACAAGCAACCGAACCCACTACTCAATTGAGAATAAAGGAAATAGTTTCTCATGAAGGACCCTTAGACACTTAGATTTTTTTCTAGCTGCATACCCTAGCGCTCTTTACTATAGAAGCAACTTTGAGCCGCCACTGGACGTTGCTGGCCTAATCACCAGCCAATGGCAGGGGTTAGTCTGCAAAGACAGGTACTAATTCAGGCTAATCTTAACAAAGAATAGTGTGCCTTAAACCATTTGTAATCAAAAGCACCGTTTTTTTTTCGGTCGGCGTGCGAAGGCAGCTAATTTTAAGACAGTTTAGTATACCTTGGTTCCTCTGTAAATAAAACCCCTGCTCTTTTTCAGATCACCAGGGTGTTGTATGTGGTCAGAGTCGCTTAATTGGCAAACGAAATCTCCATCGGGATCGTGTCGGCCAAAGTTGTAAGACAAGCAGTTGTTGTCAAGGTAACACGCCACCCGGCACGCGTCTTGTCCGTGAAGATGAATAGTTTTGAACACGTGATTAATAAGGGCGTCTCCGTCCTGCGGAGCAGTGAACTCAAGTATTCTACACACACCTTCATAAAAATATACCAAAAATTTAAATTAATTTTATTAAATAAGATTAATTTAGAAAAAAAATTATTTTTTTTTAAAACCAAAATTTCATAATAAATACAAGTGAATATACAGTACAATTTTCTTTTGCTTTCAATACCTTTTGACGTTAGTTCATACAATAAGACATATGTATTACATAGTGCATACTTAATTATACTCCATCCTTTATCAGGGGTTTTTAGAAGTACATACAAACATATTACAAAGCTAGGTTAAAATTAAATATAAATGGCATTGTAATATTTATAACGTAATCTCTATTACCGTATCCAAATGATTATTATTGTAATTCTGTGATAGCATAAAATGGCCGAAAATATATCATGTTAATTACTAAGTAATTTCTCAAGCAGCTTTTTTCGCAGTGCAAGCTTAAAAGTGCTAACGTTTTGCAAAGTTTGAGCTTTTGGTAATATTATGATAAAATGAACGTTGACCAGTGGTTGTTTTTTCAATGTGCAGAATATCCAGTATCTGGAAACTCCTAGTTTGGAGTTGACTAGATCGTTTTAAGTACCTTACGGCCATACCGATTACACATTTGAAGACCAGGATAGCGTTCTAAGATATAGCTGTTTTCTTATAGGTGACCACTTCAGTTCTCTTAATATAGGATTACACGATCGATAGAGTTATCGGTATATTGAATTTGTGTGGTGGTTAAAGTAGCATTTGCTTTCGAGTTGGCCACCACAATAACTTTAGATAAACAAAAGACACACCGAGCTTAATTAACAGGGAAGAACCCTTGAAAATCAGTAAAGTTGAATGTATCGCCTTTCAACTTGGTAAGTTACCTTATTTTAAGGCGATCTTTCTAGCAGTGGTGTCAATGGACCTTCGTTTACTACTCTTTTTTAAAAGCTAGAAAGGTATATAGTTTGTTCGTTGTTTTTAGGTAAATAGTGAAAAAACAAAATGCCGCGCATCTAACTGAGGGTGTGTCCATCCTCGATGCAAAGAAGGCTCGTTTATCCTAAAGATACTTTATATTCCTCCCCCACCCTCCATCAGAGAAATAAAAATTTCTATCATTGCTGGCATACTGAAACGAGACTTTGCCGCGAATCAACGAGTCTGCTATTGGAATCAATAGAAATCGACAATGAGCAATCTAGTTTCGAACGTTTCTCACTGGAAAATGTTGACCTAATTGACATCTCACCTGTATTTCCATGTACTCTTGCGAAGTTCTTGCAAAGCCATAATGCCGTAAGCGACAGAACATTTAGTCGAAAGAGTTGCAGCTTATTCATGTTGTTCGTGCCAAGCAGAATTTAACCAATCTGTTTGAATGTACAGTTTTTAAATTCGATCGAAGTGAGGTCTAATATTGCTTTCAAAATGCATGTTCGGTCCATTATTACACTGAAATGTAATACTTCTTTTCAATAATTTATCTCCGTCGAAGTTACACCTAGCCATCGCGTAAGCAATAACTTCATGCTCTGAAGGCATAAATTTGAATCACTTGTGGAAGAGAATAGTCTTTTTGTTGCAATATAAGTAGGCTGAACAGGTACCAAATTTAACAAAATTTATTCAACAATAACTTAATGTGAATATTTTGCCAACCTGCTTTTCTGCATTTTGAAACATACGACTCTGTAGAGGATTCAAGCTCGGATGACTTAGTTTGTTTAATTGCTGTTGTTTTCATACACTTCAATTACTGGTTAAGTATGCCTCTTTTATTCATTTATAGTACTACTAAAGGAGAGAACTGCAATATAAGCTCCGTTTTTTATAGGGTTACTCAATATTTCTAAGCCATTGCTAGAACCGTTTGCCACCTGTTACTGCATCAACATCATATTGCTATTGACATAAAGAAGTGAGGTTGTTAGTGAAAGTAGAATTATTTATCTACGGCCATTTAGGGAAGAAATCAGGGGAGATCTACAGTTGCTTAAAAGATGCCTGGCCTGCTAGTTGTAATATTGCAAGTTTAAAAATATTCCGCTATGATCATGTATATCTATGATATTGCTAAGTAGCCTAAATTTGTGGTTTTTTGTGTTTTGTCAACTGGAGCTAATATAGACTGCTATAACTTTACACTTAAAATGTGCAAGCACGCACGCTCAGTACTGTGGTAAGAGTTATCACCTTACTTTCGTCTTTTAATTCTCCTTTATAGGACTGTTTTAAATAGTTTTCATTTATGGCTTAGAAACAGCACCACACAGCTAGTTTGCAAAAAAAATTGGTGACGTAGTTTGCTATGGACATTTCGTGATAAACGACACGAGTTCTAGCTGTTTTTGAGCTAAGTACAGAAGTTCAATGTTTAACTGAAATATATTTGAGAACTCAAACTGAGGTTAAAAAACTCTTTTGACGTAAAAAAAACTATTAATGGAAATCTAAAATTTTACTGAAATACAAAATAGCGCCCAATATGGCAACTACTTTATTTCTGTCATTATAGACCTCGGTAGCGGCTTGAAATGCATTTTTTTTTTTCATCATCTTCTGAAGTCCATCGCAGCCATTCTATTTGGCCAATTTCTAACGTTAGCAAGAACCCAATTAAAAGGGGTCAGTTGAAACTAACAATTAATTTTGTCATGTCGAGCGACCACTCCTCACTTAGCCTGCATTGCAAGCATGTTCTTTGGGTGTGTGAATCCATCCACCCATAAACGCCACGTTGAATAACGAGGCCATGAGTAAGCCGAGTACAAGGTGGCAATTAAAAAAAAAAACGTCAACTGATCATTACGGAAGGAAGAGTGACAGAACAAATGAAGAAAGAAAGCAAAAAAACTAAAATGGTGAATTATATATTTTGCTCTGCGAAACAAACCTTCAGTGGGGGCTGAAAAGGAAAATGAAGAGCAAATTTAATATAATGCACCATTTTATTTCCGTTTTCATTCTTTATTTTTTCTATCACTCTACCTGCCCGTAAGGATCAGTCTACTTTTCCTATTTTAATATTTGGTTTAGAAGACTTTATTGATCCAGGTGTACTAAAGATCTGCCCCACCCTCACTGGCCTGTTGTTGTGGGTTTGCATTCAGAAGTGTTTTTGAAAGGTGCCAATGCCTATTCCAAGGTTCGTTATTTTCACTTTGCCCAATTTTCATTTCAGGCCGTTCCCAACTCGATTCCACCTCAATAGCATTCGTACAAACTATACTAGATGGCATCAAATGACCTATTAGAAGCCGATCAGTTTGTCTCGGGATAAAATTGATGTAGGTGTAGACGTCTATTTGATACTTCGCAAAGATAGTTGATATTATTTCTTTTCGATTATTTACCTCAGTCTTCCAATATAATTCTGGAGCGCCCGTGAGAAGATCTCACCAGGAACAATCGAGGAGAAAACGAGGAAAGAATAATCAAGTTACTTGACAGAACTGTCATTTTAACTGAACTCATTGCTTAACTAGCGCTCCAGGTGCAAATAAACCCAGTCTTTTTTTGTTATTATTCTTTGAGTTGTTAATTCTCTCGAGGGGTCTTTTTGTTGCTTCTGATTGTTTAGTTTTGTTCAGAATAATATTCTGAGTTGTTTGTTACCGCCGTGTATTGTTGAAAAAAAGTGGCGGAAAGGACTGACAAAAAAAATTTAAAGGAAAAGACCGAAGAAATATCCATGATATTACTGACGGTAGCATCAGTTCTCTTTTCAAGTGTTAGCAGGTAATCAAATGTTTACAATAGAGGAACCAGCAAAATGCAAGCTCGATTCTGTATTAGTTATAGCTTTATTGTCGTTAAGTTTATTTTTTTTTCAGAGTTCGTGTTTTGACTTTAATTTACGTAAGAGTGACCACTACTATATTAATTTTAAGCTTTCTCTAGTGAATTAAAGGGGAAAATGAGCTCCTTACATTGCAAAGTGGTTAGCCGCTTTAATAACACATATTAACTTCCCTGAGGTTAAAAAAAAAACAAAAAAAAACAAAAACAACGCTGATAGAGATACGTATCATAATCAATTTTAATCATAAATATCATGCGACACTCTCTTGCATCTTGTACTGTTTGTTTATAAATCTTCGCCAAATGGAGTTTTTCGATAGTTGACCATCTGTACTTTGCAATTGGCAAGGAGGAGGCAAGGGGCTCACACAAATAGCTCTTAAAACCAAAAGTTCTTGATGGCCATGGTTTGCCGTACTCGTTTTGAACCATCTTCTCATTGAAATAGGGCACATTCCTGCCACCCCATCCTTGAGAGACAAAAGTAAGTTCTTGAACTCTTTTCGAAATTTATGATTCATGACTCCGTAAATTATAGGATTAACGGCAGATGAGAGGTAGATTAGGGTAAAACAGATCGTTGGATACTCAGGTGGGAGAGTCTTCATCAATTTACCAAGAAGTATACCGATAACTTGGGTTGGAACCCAGCAGAGAATGAATCCAAGCATGACAACAAAGAGTATTTTAGTGGTCCTGAGTTCTTCGCAGCTGGGGCCTGCAGACTGCAGGTTCCCGCGCTGCAGCGAGCATGTTACTGTCATAGAGTGTTTGCGCACAGCTCTATAAACTAGAAAATAACACAAAACCATCAGACCTGAAGGAACAACGTAGCCGATTATGGCGACAGCCAGTGGGATGTAACGTGGGAAACAGGTCCCTGCTTTAGTGATGTAGGCTATCTCTCCGCCGCCCGCCCAAACATATATTTCACCAAAACAAAGTCCGAAAATCCATATTGTGCATATCATCACTATTGTAGACCGCTTGGTAAATATGGATGGAAATTTCCTTGGGTGAACGATTCGAAAGTATCGGTTCACAGCCATCAAAGTCATTATTTGCAGGGAAAGAAAAGACATTGATACTCCAAGGATGGCTTGGAACTTGCACATGAACTCTCCCAGGGACCACTGAACAGTTATCAGAGAGATTATCGTCAAAGGCATACAGAAGAGAGCCATAAGGATATCAGCAATTGCCAGATTAATGACGTACGCGTTGGTGATGGTTCGAAGACGTGGATTTCGACGCACAACGGCTAACACAAGAGAATTTCCGATGACTGATAAAAGCATCACAATAATTACAAAAATTGATTTTGTAATAAGAAGAGCTAAGGTTTTGACCTCCATTTCAATGGCTGGAATCAGAGCTTTCTGAACATCAAAGTTAAACCGCTCGGCAAAAGTATTAAATAATATTTCACCTACGAAGCTTCATTCAAGAATATTACACAAATTGCATAAATGCTAATTAAAACGACACCTACATTATAATGTTCATCTAGGTAAAATCTCTAAAGTGTCGACACTTACATCATTGAGCACCTTTTGTCTCAAGAACTTCGACTTTTTCATGGCTTTTGTACATTGAATTTAACGAATTAAGATATTTTCATCTTGTCCTTTCCCGTTTATTTACAGAATGTGCATTTCCTTAAAATGTCCTTGTTTTAATTAAAAAATAATCGTGTTTTTGTCGTTTTATCAAAATAAGCTTTATTAGTCAAAAATCTTAGAAACATATTTTTGTAACGATAATGAGTAACTGAAGGTTTCCATTTTAATAAAGACTCCCATTTTAAGAAACAGCTGATTACATATTTAAAGGAAATGTAATCCTCTGTAAATATCCTTTTTTGTTTTGAAATTAAGATGAAAAGCAAACGCGTTTTTTTCTTCTTCTTCTTCTTCTTTCCGTTCTCTTTGTTGTGTTTGGATCGAGGAAATAACTTGAAAAAAGGACAGGTGAATACGAATTACATTAATGTACAAAGCAGCAAACATTACTACGGAGATAAAATGATTAATATCACAGAACATAACATGAGTCGCAGCACAATTCAACCGAAAACAACAACAACAACAAAACAAAAAAACAGAACACAACGAAATAAGTAATCAGCAAGATGATTGCTATTAACACTGGTCAATCTAATCACTCTTAGGAAACTGTATTAGTTTCACTGAGTTACACCTGAATCAATTATGCTTGTTTGCACAATATTCCCAAAAGTCAAACATTTTTTAAATTAAGTACTCTATTGTTACTTTTGCTTCAGTTAAACTGAAAAAAAAATTGAAACTTGTTGGGCTGGACAAAACTTAAGCTGCGGAAGTACAGCAAGGATTTTCTTCATGGGAGTTCTTGTGTACTAGAGGAGTATTTGCCATTAAATATAAATGTGTAGAAATAGGCTGAAGCAACGGTTCTCGGAAGCCAATCGCACGGGTCGTAGTGGTCCGTTCCCTAATACTCTGGCTTTTTAGTAGACTAGAGATAAGCTACACTGTACAGCGCCGCAATAAAGATAACAGCGATACAAAGATAACCAATGCTACAAACTGCAAGTAAAACACAGTTTAGCCGCGCAAGTCCGATTCAGCGCCTTGTTGAACTATTTGAGCACAATATGAACCAGAACAGAGCAAAATACTTTCTCGTTAAGACTCCTTTAAGCCCACGGGTCGATCCCTTTAGATTGTTGGACTGTATTCACCTGATTATGAGAGCCAAATAGGCTGCATTTTAAGGGATAAAATAGACAATTTTATTTGTTACATTTTTTCTTTCTCATTCAATGGTTTCAATTGGTTGCATTAAATATTTAGTGTTTTGAATTTCTTAGTGGTCATAAAAGCTTTTGATTGATATTTTCGAAGCATGCGTCTTGCTCAGTTTATGATCGCATGGCCTAGCTCAAAATCTAGGTGAATTCCACTGCGGATTAGCAGTTACTGGACACGTAGTCGCGAAAACCTAAAAATGGCTTTAAAGCCGTTATTTGAATGTTGTTTGGAATATCTCCACTAGGTATGGAGAAGACTAAATTTAAAAACCTCCAGTATCTCACTTTTATGATGTCATGGTAATAAAAGCCATCCACCTTCATGTTCACATTAATTTAACCAACGGAAGTGGCCTTTCTTGTTGCTGAAGTTAAAGGTAAGTGTCAAAGGTTTCTGCTTTGTTAGTATATTCTGATAAATAACGAAGTTGTTGTGGGGTTGCTTTTTTACAAAACCTTTTAAGTGTTAGATCAAAATTGATGAAAGGTGCCTAAGATAAGCAGTCATGACGACCATGACGTGAGGCCACGGCAAAGACGACGACTGAGGCCACGGCAAAGACGACGACAGCTTATTAAAGGTGGATTCAATGCTCTGTTGGCGTGTCCATGGTACTTAAACGAGATCCCAGTTGTTCGAAGGACGATAAGCGCTAACCCGTGGCTAAATCTTAATTCGAGTTTCTAATTGACCACTCCAGAAAATACCATAACATACCATAATGCTCTTTGTTTGTCACCCCCAAATTTTGCATAAGAATTGTCGTCAGTTTCTCTTGGGAGTTAAAATGGCTCCAAAGAAACTGAAAACAATGCTTATGCGAAATTTTGGGGTGACAATCAAAGAGCATTATGGTATGTTACGGTATTTTCTGGAGTGGTCAATTCTGTGATTCAAAAACATTTCCTCGGAAATTTTTTGGTATAGGCCATTAAACAGTCATAGATGGAAACGAGGCTGGAGTTGACCGTATCGGCCATGGGGTAGGTGGGCAGTTTACCACAAACCCAAATTGATCCAAAACAATGTCAACCTCAGCCATTCAATCGAAGGCTAAAGTAATAAGCCCACAACAACTTTAAAACGGTCTTTTTTCCTTAGCGCATCCAATCATCGAATTGTGAACGAAAAGAATCAAACTGAATTTGTTTTAAGTATCCGAGTTCAAATTTCGCACTAACCCCAGGTTATATTAAACCAGCTTTGAACACCTGACCCTGCTTGTTGGATTTTTTTAAATGGTACCAGAACTTTACCTTTTCTTCTGAATTTGATTAATGATTGAATTTATTGGGACTCGACGTCGTACAGTGCTTGCGCTAAGATTATGCTCGAAGCGTGCTTACTGAGAGCGCATCTGCGATAGGTACTCGATTACGTATGCAAACCCAAATCATAGTTAGTAGACGAGCCATGAAAGCTGGCCATGGTCATGAAAGCTGGCAAACATCACAGTTGATAACAACAGTGCACAATCCTTTTTGTTTACAAATTGTGACTGAATGTTAAGTTAATGCGATGTTTTTATTGGTCAGCAAGTTAAAAATGACAGGAATGCTATTGAACGTTGTACATGGTCAAGTCCAAAAAGCTAACAGAAGCATAACAAAGGCGTAAAACAGGTATCATAACAATTCCACTATAATAACTATGCCCACATAAAACGTTAAACTTAAATTTACAACGGTATGGAAGATTACGAAAGCTTTCTCAACAAAACTTCACTTGAAGCGAGATGCAGTACCAGAAGTTATGCATATGGTTAAAATTAAATGAATGCTGGGTAAACCTGCATTAGGGGTTAGTTTGAGGGTTATTTGTGCTTTGAATTTAATTTTGATATAGGTATATTAATTGTTAATAAGTTGCAGTCTTTCAATAATGAATTTGGTTAGCGTAATTTAGTAGTGTATTTTTTGTCATTCTTTCGATCAAATCATTTCTTGTAATATTGTACATTGTATGTAGTGCAGGTTTTGGACTGAACAAACGAAAATGTAAACCAGAAAAAAGCCTCCTTTGGTGCATGATTTTCACATGGAATAAGCCTAGACTGCTTTATTAGAATGTGGCTGGAGTTTTGATATTACAATTGTTCGTTAACTGAAAGTGGGGCATAAATACTTGATAAGTTTGACAAGCTTGCGCGGTACCACTTTCCCATATTGTCTGCACCGCTTGTATGTTGAGATTATGTTTTATATTTTAATGCTCATCGGCGGTTTCAGTTTATCGCTGAGACTGGTTGATGGTCAAGAAAGAGCTGCTTTTCAAAAATATGGCTTCGGTTTCGCCTACGGAAACTTCCGACAAATTTTGCATCATTATCTATCTGCAGTGAAAGTTCGATCCGTCTTCACGGAAAATGAAGATGACTGTGCATTCAATTGTATTAGTGAGCCACAGTGTTATTCCTTTAATATTGCGACGAATCCAGACTCCAGCGGTCTTTACCTATGTGAATTGTTGATCACGGACGAATACAGAAATGCAAAGGAACTTAGAGCAAATGCAACTTTTCACCATTGGGGTCCTTGGGTAAGTTCGATGCTTTTTCAGGACCTTAAGGAAAATTGAGAGCTAGAAATTCTAGCTTTTTTTTAACTTGAAAAATATATAATATGTCAATTTGTTACAGTAGAACCCCTGTAACTCCTCTGAAGTGAACCGAAAAACAGTTCGAGTTAGCGGGTAATTCGAGTTATCGGGGTAAATTTCAGTGAAATTTTGATCTAGGGAAAGCACATTTTGTCCGAGTTAGCGGAAAATTCGAGTTATCCGTGTTCGAGTTATCGAGTCTGTTGCTTGCATTTATGCACAATGTTCACAAAAAGGGTTAAAGCCTGTTGATCGAATGCCAATCAAAGAAACAAATTTTCAGTTTCACTATAAACTTGGATGCTTAGTCTAACGTATGATGAACACGTATACGTATATCAGCGTTTTACTTATGGTAACGCCTGACTGTTTCTGACACTGGCTATGAACTCAACCATAGATTAGATTGCCGTGGTTCGATATAGCACGTTGTCGTAAAGGCAAATCCTTGTTTGCATTTTTTGCCTAGGCTTAGCACAGGCTTATCATTTTCTGTGACTAATGATTATTTCTGAATATTGAAAGAGCATAACAATTTCGATCCAATTCAGTTATCTCTGACACTTTCAGCCCGATAAACCAAATAGTTTCGCAGAAATTATCTTTAAAAAACCCCCAAATTTATAACGAATGTATGAGATCATTAACGTTTTGCCATCCAGTAATTTGGCAGTTTTTAATTGCTGCTATTTTCATTGTTACTGATTGCAATGAGAGCTGAAACTTGCACAAACTGCATGAATTAACCAGCTCTTTTAATTTTTGAACCTAATTGGTAAATACAGCTATCATCATATGCTAATGAGCAAAAATGTAAACAATGACGTCACGATGAATCCGCCTAAAGGTGAAAACATGCTGATCAGGTTGGGGAAGCATGGCATATTTAAAAAGTTGTCAATGTTAGTGCCTAAAGCTTTTAACACTGCAGAGGTTAAATAATGTTAATTTCTTTATATAATGCCGAGATGCATTTTTTTTTACGTACAGAGCCCTTGTGTGACACGTCCTTGCTTAAACAGAGCTTCGTGTGTTCCAGATTACCAACGCAACGATTATCACTGTGAATGCAATTCGGGGTACAGTGGGAAAAACTGTGAAAATGGCAAGTGATCTCTTCTTTTTACATGCCCTTCCTCGTCAAACGTAATTCAGCCAGTTTCAGTTTAATAGTAAATCAGTTATTTAAATCAGTTGGTTCGACTAACCCTCGAGGAGAGATCTTATGACGACCCTCAGTAATCATCTAAAGGAAACCTGAATTCTGGCGGAAAACTAAAAGAGGTTCTTCTTGCAATTGAGCTCAATTGATTGTTAGAGAATTCCAGAACGACCAGGAGTGGTAAACTCTCTGTGACTGAAAATGTACCCAGCTACAATGCTGAGTCTAGCTTCCGACCCATGCAGTTCAAGTGTGAGAAAATCTCAGAAAAGGCCAGCCTAGGAATACACTAACTGCGCTTTATCTATTGTTTCCATAGGAAAATGGGAACAATTGAACGCAGTTCCGCTATGTTACGGAGCAAGAGGCGATTCTTATGGGGAATTCACATTTACTGAGGCGGGCTTCATTATCAAGCTTAATCTTACCCATATCAATGGCTCCCTGAGTTGTTCTGACATTTTACCATCTTCTTTCTGGGGATGTGATCACTCAGGTTTAGGCAATAATAAGCTAACTACCCTGGTGACCTTCAAAAATAAAACCCGTCTCCTACCTGCCACAGTTAGCGGTGATTCCTGCAATCCGTCTTACAGCATCCAAGGAGTTGGTCTTAATTCAACGTCACTGTCGTTTGAGCCTTTTGATATTCCACTTGCCGTTGCAGTAAATGACAGTTTCCAGATATGGTTCAGCCAGGACTATACGGATTGCGTGGAAGAGAACAATTCCGGCGAGATTTGTGTCGAAGTACACGCACTATATACTTAACCCGTTATTTAGTCCCAATAGTGACAAACATCAATTTCCTCCTAACAATATCCATACATTGTCAAGAGATAACACAATGATCGCCAAAGAGAAATGCCTTGATCTTTTATTAAATTCTCTCGACTAATTCTTAACGGAAATTAATGGAGATCAGTTTGGAGAATTTGTATGTTGATCAGATATTGGGACTTAAAGGGTTAAGCTGTCAATAAGATGGACCAGAGTTTAGTATTAAGATTGACGGAAGTCTTCGAACAAAAGAATGACCAAACATAGCTATAGGGGCGCAAGAAAGACATAATAAATACTTGCCTTAAAATTTCCAGCTGAAGCCGGAAAATGCTAGAGCAAAATAGGCCAGAATTAAGTGAGCGAGCCTTTAAATATGCTCAGCCTGACTGGCACGTGCTATTATTATTACACAACATAGCACCGCATGAATTAGATTATGCTGATATATTATCTTTGAGTCTATGTATGTATGAGTATATTATCGTTTTTCGTCCGCGAAAATGAGTTCAACGGGGCGCCTAAAAAGAAAGAATGTTTCGGAGAAATCACAATTGCTTTCGTTATTCAAATTTGTAAGGAGTGAAACAAAAGAACCTTCTGTTGCAAAGAGTCAGTCCACTTCTATCTCCAATCGGTGACGTCAGCGTGAGTATCGCTATTAATGGGCAGGAATCGATATGCCGGCGGAGCAGTTACCCTGCAATCAGAAAAAATGTCTCACTGTAGATCGGGCGCGTGTGGTTTTAGCAAAATGTGGCCATATTCTATGCAAATTTCGTGATAGTTTCGCGGGATACATTTCCACAGTGCTTCCTTGTTCATTAATAGTTTCTTATGATTGCGATCAAATTTAAAGAGATGAGATCGTACGCAGACTAGAATGTCTCAGTAATTTTCTAGTGCATCGATGCCGGTTAAGAAGACAGTTGATCTAGTATAAGTGACCCAAAAAGTTTTATTAAGGAACTTGATCTTATGTGGGCATATTGACACTAATCTATTTTATACTGCTTGAGTCAGTGTGTTTATACTAACTCATCTCATGTGAGGTAATCAAGACTTTGGAACCCGGAAAGTTTGTCCTTGGAAAGACAGATACCTGGACATCGCAAACCAGGAAATTCAGGCCAAGGAATCCAGAATCTCACAAACGATTGCAATCCGGAATCCTTTTTCCAGTTTGAAAAAATCCAGCGTTTATAGGGTGGAAAGAAGGGCTCACTAATACTGTGAGTTGCGATTTGCGTGACTTTATATAGCTATAGCATTTCTTACAACCTTCCGACTTTAAAATATCGAAAATGAAAAGCCTCAAGCTAAGCTTCTATAATCTTACACAAAATAACGTGATTGCCCTAGACGGCAAACATCTAGGAAATCAAAGACGATATTCTCGTCGCCAGTGAAGTCCTCTAAGTGAATGATAGTTTGCATATGTCTAAGTAAAGCCAAAATTTCTGTGCAACCTCACCTCAAACGTTTTCTCTGCCTGTTTTTCCTAAAGACAAAACAATAAAGAAATATCTAATTTTGACCAAAACCATGGACTAACAACATAAGAATAATGAAAAATTAAAAATCGATCAAAGCCGAGCTTTCTGCAAAGAACATCACCAAACACTTTTTCTAAGTCTATTTTGCCTCAAAAGAAAGAATGAAAAAATTTACATTTTTTGACTAAAACCACAGAAAAACCCCTTTAAAAAAATGCACATTTTCAGACTTTTTTCAAACAATTTTTTTGTAGCCTGGAAAGTCAAATCTATTATATACATGTAGAACTTCAGGAAATGCTTTTTCTCAATCTATTTTGCCTCAAAAGAACGAATAAAGAAATTTCCAATTTTTGACTGAAGCCATGGACTAACCCTTATGAAATAATGCATTTTTCAATCGTTTTTTTTTTCAGCTAGGCAATTTTGCTTTAAGAGAATGAATAAAGAATTTTCTAATTTTTAACTTAACCCATGGGCTAACCCCTTTGGGAAAAAGCAAATTTTGCTACTTTTTAAAATCGATAGAATGCTTAGAAAGGCAAATTTTCATTATAAAACATCACCAAACACGTTTTCTTAGTAATATTTTGCTTATAAGAAAGAAAAGAGAAATTACCATGCAACGTTTCACTAAAACCATGGACTAATCCCTTTGGAAAAAAAGCAAATATTGCTACTTTTTCAAATCGATGTTTTTACAGCATAAAAAGTCAAATTTACTAATTAGAACACTACCAAATACTTTTTCTGAGTCTATTTTGCCTTAAGAGAAAACGAAGAATTTTCTGATTTCTTTACTAGAACCATGGACTATTACCCATTTCGAAAAATGCCAATTTTGCGCGGACTTTTGTGAATTGATGTTTTTATAGCCTAGAAAGGCAAATTTACTAAGTAGGATATTATCAAATACATTTTTTTTCTCTGTCTATTTTGCCTTAAGAGAAGGAATAAAGAGTTTTCTAATTTTTTACTAAAACCATGGACTATAGCCTCTCTAAAAAAACATAGGCACGTTTAACGTGCATGAGCTATTTTGAATGATTCAGTGTAACCTTAGTACTTCAGTGTAACCTTGCCATGAGTGATGAATCTATCTTTTTTCATGCTAAATGTAGACTGGTTTTTTGTGCGAAATTGGGTATTGCGGTACATAAATGAAAACGCGAAACGCTCAGCTAAGTCGATCCTCTGCTATATATTCACTTTGCTCAGTCTTTCCCCGATACATCTCGTGCAAGTTAAACAAATCGTTAAAGTACAATAAATATTAACTCACTAAACGTTGAGTAGAAGGTCAACTCTAAGGTTTCATCGGAGTTTCTTATGAATATGCGGTTCATCGAATACCGAATAGTTACGAAATACCAGGATTATTATCATTGTGGTAGATGGTTGCATCATCATAATTCACGAGGTTTTCACGTGCGATTCTTCTCAGTGAAACAGTCTTTAACTCTGACAACTTAATTCTTCATATTTTAAAAACTATTGCT